TTATTTAACGTTTACACATATCCTTATGCAAACGATTCGTTACAAAAAAAAAGAAAGAAAAAGAAAAAACTTTGGTATAAGAAGTACATAGAATTGTTAATTAATATAATATGTTATTAATTACTATTAAAACGTAAAGGGTAGCTGATCATAGAATCACATTGATATAATATATACATTTTGTAAAAATGATGGTCAAGCTAAGTACTTGTTATGACTGCACATGAATTTGCAAGAGAAATTTATGTACTGTGAGATAGAACATTAATCTGTTGAAAAACGTATTTCTTGCATGTTGAAATTTCGTGGTTCATAGTCTTTGACTTCTAAAAATGAAATTTGGTCTTGAGCTACATAGGACGGTAAAATAATTTTGTAATTCCTATTCTGACATTAGCACCAGGCACAATCGTTAGGAAATAATATTAACTGTAACGGAACTTTTCAATAAAATCTATCAATATACGATTAGGTAACTTATACGGATTAAATGTGATTCCATAAAATTTTATGATTTTAGAAACACTTTTACTAAGTTTTAATGGAAACAAATAAAACTAAAACATCATTATGGTATTAAGTATTTGTTACTCCTTACACCAATAAAATGAATAAGTAATGTAAATATACGTATACCATAGATTCAAAGAAAAAAAAACAAGAATGATAAATATCACAAGCACGCGTAATTGCAATATACAATACAATTCCTGAAGAGAACTAGGTACATCTCACTTGCGTTCTCGGCGCTACGAAACCTTCTTTATACACAGGCTACATGGAAATATTCTCTCCTTTTATCTCTCGTTGTAGTGTGATCAAATTTACAATAGAACATTGCATTTTGTATTTTCAATAACTTTGGTAAATGACTATAGAATGTGAAGGCTGTCAGTCATTTCTACAGCTAATAAAATCTTTTTACGCTAAGAAGATTTCTTTTAAAATATTTAAATGTCTTCATAGGCTATTTTCATTTGAAATATACATAACGATCATTTTGTCGAAATCAGTGTACACAATTTATCATCAAGAGCACAGAAAATAGCACTTTTATAATGAAACGTTTCTTTTCCTTTCTTCAAATCCTATTGCATTTTATATCCATTAAAAAAAAATGAAAATAACAATGCTACTGATATCTAAATACTTTACAATATCGTGATCTATAAAAAAATACATTTTAGATTGTATACAGTACTGCTCAAAAGCTCGGGATAAGTAATACTTAAGATATACCTAAAATGAAAAAAGAAATAGTAGATAATACAAACATAGTATTTTATGTTTTTAGTATTGCTATATATTTTTTGTAATTATACGCATTCATTTAAAAGATACGAAAAGTTTTGTATTCTCATTAATTAAAAAATAATCCCGAACTTTTGAGCGTCCATGTATGTTGAATGATGTCTATATATACCACGTAAAAGAGGATAGTCAAAAAACGTGTATGTTTCTTGTTTCATATCGTGTTCACGACTAAGCAAATATAACAGACGTTCGAGTATCATTCTGGAATGCGAAAAGAAACGCACACGAGTATAATTTGATATAAAATCCGTTCAACACATTGTGTTAATATCGAAATGAAATTTCAATCAAAAGGGTGCAACAATTGCTGCTGCTTCACCCCTGCTTGTTGGCAACGAAGCACACTCGTGCCATTTATTTGAATGTGGATCATAACATTCCACGGTGGATATTGTGATCTGTGTTCGATAAAAATTGATTTCCTGAGATTGATCACCTCCTATCACATACAATCGACTATCAGCTGCTGCAACAGCCGGATATGATCTGCCTATATTCATGGGTGCCACGGTACTCCATTTATTCTGAAATGTTAGATTTACCCTTGTGATTCTGTAATTACAGGAAAATCAAGGCGTGCTATTTGTACTACCTTTTCGAAAGAATATCGTTCAACAGATGTTAAAACTTCCTGATTCTTATTAGTACCACCAACAACATAAATATATCCGTCCAATATAGTGATCCCCATTTGTGAACGTGGTGTGAGCATTGGTGCCAAATAAGTCCATTCTCTAGTTACTGGATTATAACTCATCATATCTTGCCTATGTCTGCGATTGAGTGTGCAACCACCCACTATGTATATTAATCCTGAACAAGATATTAATAGGTTTATGTTATCTATTATTATACTTTCTAGATAATACAAAGCTATGTTAAATTAAACCATTCTACCTTCAAAAGCAACTACTCCCATGCTAAATCGAGGTTCCGGAAGTTGTCCGTCGAGTGTCCAAGTGTTAGTTATTGGATCGTATATTTCTATTGATCCGCCAATGTCAGTGCCAACCCAACCACCAAATGCATATAAGTTATTATCCAAGGCACAGAGTCCAAATTCACATCTGGGTTCTTCCATACAGGCAATCGAAGTCCAAACATTATCGCGTGGATCATAGCATTCGCAGTTAGCAATAATACATGATTCCAGTTCTCCGCCAACAACATACACTTTACCATCCAGTAATGCCACTCCCGGTAGAATTCGTCCTATACCTATTGGTGCCACTTCACTCCACTTTCTATAAAATCAATTTTACTCAGAAACTGAAGAAAAGTATGATAATATTTAATTTATATTATAGCCAGGACCGCGTCCACCCGAGGATGCAAGGAGTGCACCGCACCCAGGCGGCAAAAAACAAATATCTAACATTTATTCTATACACCTAATATCTAATTTTAATTATGCAATGCAGTATAATTATTAATAGTGTGGAGAGTGAGACGGTGTACTGCTTTACGGCGGAGCAAGGTTTTTGAAAGATCATAATGATGTTTTCCAGTTTTCTTTAAGAAAAAAGCAATAAAAGTTTGCACCCGGGTGGCAAATACCTTTGACGCGCCCCTGATTATAGCCATGATTAATGTAAAGTACAGTAAAAAAAATAGTAGTAATACCCAGTGAATATATCGTATTTCTCAATCGTTTCGTAAGTACTCTCAGTAGCCCTGCCCCAACTATTCACCGAATGCTCCCGTCGCGAACCACCGATCACTAAAATGTTTTTCTTAGCGCAAAGTCTAGGCTGTGCATGAAGAGGCACAAGACATCCTTTGTTCGACACTAAATCTTTTTGAATAGATCTTAACGCCACAATGAGACTCGCGTCTTTGCATTCCAAGATAACGCGTTCCAATCTTGCTAATGAACACAGCCGCAAACGTATATGACTTAATATTTCAAATACATAACACCTTCTTGTTGGTATATTGTGGACAATCCAATTATATGCAGCTTGGAAGACCTATCCACAATAATTATTTAAACCATTCATTTTATGTCATTTAATTAAAATTACTGATTTTACTTATATTATACAGATGCTAAAAGAATATAAATATGAACCTGGAATTCAGTATCAATATGAATATAATCGCTACTGAGAAAATGAACAAGATTTTCTTTCGGCAAATCCAAAAATTCTTCCTCCTGCGATACTTGAGGAAAATTGACTTGTATAAAGCGTAGGGCAGTCTCCAAAAGATCTAATCTGTTATGCGCTTCCGCAAATCTATTTAAAACCAAACGTTTCGTTAACATTTCAATAATTTCAATAATTTATTTTTATTGAACTCACCTATAAATCCCAAGAGCATTTGATGGATGAAGCTGTTGTTCTAAATACGAAATGCAACCTGATACCACTTCATCTAATTCTAACATGTCAGCAGCTGCAAATAATTCTTGAACATTGTCCTGGGTAACATCAACATTCCCAGTATAAATGAAATCCACCAATATGGAAAGAATATCGGCTGACACCGAATGAATTTCTACTAACTCCTGTTGTTCCTCCACAAGACCACCAGTAAACATAGCATTGAAATATGCACTTCCGGCAGCCAAAACTGACCTATGTGCTCTAATGATACTACCACCAGCGACCAAACCCACATCACTAAATTGATTTTTTAGTCTTTGGGCATTTAAATTCCTCAATACCTTTGGAGCATACTGCCCCACTGCATAAACAATATTTGAGACATCAGATGTCTGTTTCACCACTTGTGTTGCAAAACCCATATTGTTACAATTATGACTATTCTTCATTGGTGGCACTGCACCATCCGCCATGAAACCATCAAGTTGTCCTTTATCTGCAGTTCCTAGAATGTGAAAAATAATAAATAATTTCTAATAGTAAACTGTAATATAAGAATTTTATCCTGAATGTAATGTATGCTTTGAAATTGGTTTAATACGTGTATTTTCGAAAGTTAGTTATTAACATTTTCACGCCCAATGACTAATGAGCAAGTGCCTACAAATAGGCACCGTCGAGAACATGTTAATGATTCGAAAATTTGTATAAAATATTATTTAGATTTTTGCTAATGTTGTGAACAGCTATGTTGCTTGAAAATAATAAATAGATAGGCTCATTAATTAAACACTTACGACATATACGAGAAAGCACCTTATAGACGCTATGGAACGATTTTGTGTTGTTTTTCCCTTTTAAACGCATCACTACCACCGCATTTTCACGTGATTTGTTAGTACTTGATACCGCTTTCCATTCGGTTCATCCCTTTCCCGAATCTGTCAATTACTCACTAATTCGGTAATGAGAAATCTGACATATGTCAAATAACCTGTTTAGTGTATGAAAGTAGCTACAAGACAATCACTAATAAATGCCAATGTATTATCGGTACCACACTTACAGGATAATTCGTAAATTTCACGTAAAGAGTTCCGTGTCGTTAAGTTCACCAACTTAATCGCAGACTTACGTGTTCGACTCGAAACTTTAAAAAAAAGAAATCTTTCCGTATTTTTATGTATTTCAATTAAAGTCTTCTGTTCACTCACTCCACTCGTTCGATTTTGGTAATTCAATTATGAGTTCATTGCCTCACAGTCATACCAACAAAATGTTTCAACGAATTGTTACCAGAATTGATGAGCAACTCACTAACTGATATACTATTGAATATTACAACGTAAGTAGAGATTCTTACTACGATTGGTAAGTCTCAAATTAAAGGAGTGGGGTGGAGAAGTATTTTGATAGTGGTATTCGACACCTAGCCAACTAGCGAGGAATTTCTGTACTTATTTTCTCCCTCCTAACACAATGACACATTTTTCGCCAATCACAAGTCAAACATTAGAAAACTACATTTATGAGCTATGTGGGATAAACATTTAATGCCCGGCTTGGATACAACATTTATTAATTTATGACATGACGATTGCTATTAAGAATGGAGAAAAAAGATTATACTCCAAAAGTACATGGTCCATTGAAGACTAAAAATTTTCTGATTTTTAATTCTTCAGTTTTTGATTTGTAGTTTAATAGCAAACTTAAAAGTGCTAATACTTAACAGGTATTTCTAAAAGATCCTAAGTGATTCTTACACAAATAGAAATTTTTATAGAAATAGTGTTATCACTTTTATGCCAGTAGCTGTTTAGAACAATGGAAAGTAACAACAAATTAAGAAGAGCACCACTTTCAATGAAACAGCGGCTTGAAATCGTCCAGCATTTGGAAAATGGTGTACCTATTAGTGCATTGGCTACAGAATACAATGTTACTCCTGTAACAGTTCGTCGCATTAGACGAAATGCGGTGACAGTTAGCCAATTTACTGATCAAGGTGTTGACAAAGGACATCGACGTACTCTGAGGAGGCCAGAAAATGAGGAATTGGATAATCGTTTATACACATGGTTTGTAGAACGCAAGACACTTGGCGAGCCAATCACGGATGTACGGATGGTAGAAAGAGCAGCAGAAGTAAATAGAGAAATTGGAGGACCTTCAAATTTTAAAGCTAGCAGGGGCTGGTTGTGGAGATTTAAAAACCGTCATGGTATTAGATTATTTGGACAAAATGTTGATGCCAATACAGCAGCTGCACAGCAATTTGTAGAAACTTTTGCTAGACAACTAGAGGAAGAAGATATTGACAAGGAAAATGTATATAATATGAATGCAACCAGTCTTTCATGGAAAACACTTTCCAAGAAGGTTTTTGCACATAGCGGGGAGAAAAGAATTGAAGAAAAGAATATGAATAAAGATCGGGTGACTATAGGCTTATGTACTAATGTAACTGGAAGCCATAAATTGGCTCCTTTGTTCATTAACAGATTTGAAAATCCAAGAGTATTAAAACATTGGAAGCATCGGTTACCTGTGGTTTACAAAGCTCAACAACAAGCTTTCATGGATCAAAGTGTATTTGCGGATTGGTATCAAAATTACTTTAAACCAGATGTGATGAAATATCAATTACATAATGGTACCTGTGGGAAAGTTGTCCTTATTTTAGATAAATCTCGTGGATACAATTTGGAATTCCTTGAAGAATTGCAGAAAGATGAACGTTTCCAAATTATATTTCTTCCTCCAAATACTAACCACTTACTTCAGCCCATAGACCAAGTACTTGAGAAAACAAAAAAGTCTTATCGTCATAAGATGTTAAATAGAGCGATGAGTTATCCTGATGGAATTCAAGAATTCTATTCTAATTATGATCTTAAAGATTGTATTCATTTGTTGTATGAAGCGTGGTTAGAAATGAGTACCTCGGATATTCAAAGTTCATGGAAAAATTTGATCAAGCAAGTCCCAGAAGTGTCAGGGATAGAAGATCCAGAGGATCTATTTGAAACCAACCTAAAAATTATGGACAGTGAGGAGCAAGAAGAAGGATCTGCTGATTTCCTATCAAGATGCATCAAAGCTAAAGACAATTCTTTTGAGAGAACTAAAAGTTTTTCTAATGTTGATATTAAATCGTCATTAGGTACATTACCGGAAAAAGATGAAGTAATAAAAGCTATTAAAACCTTGTTGGTCTGGTCTAAAAAGGAACCAAATTTTATACAAATGAATGTAAAATATTTAAAAGATTATTATAAACTAAGGTGATGTAATATAGCCTTAGAATAAGCAATATGTGTGGCTCTAAAGAGTGATTATGAAATATGTGATATCTATATAAAATCTAAATTGCATACTTTAATTATAATAGTAACCGTAAATATTTTGTATTTAATTTCATCCAATCAGAATAATTTTCATTTATATATTCATTTATTATATTTTTAAATTATAATAAGAACACTTATATGTTTAACTCAGTATAAACTTTGCTTTATTAATTGCTGTTAAATATATTTCCACAGAAAAAGATGGGTACATATAGAAAAAATAATTATAAGTCTTTTTGTTACAATTCTTCATGGGTCATGGAAGATGATCTTTCTGTGGGAAAACCCCAAAAAAATGTAGGGTATCCTTTCACTTCTCTTTCTCTTGCAACAAACGCTGAGAAAGAAGAAATACAGTTCCCTATGAAATAATTTGCTCTTCCAAGAATTGCTAAATCCAAATGAGGAGAAGCAGGTGAAGTTTGTTTAAAAACTGAAACCTATGAACAAACAACAAAACATTCTTACATATACCCTTAAAAAACATATTAATAAATTTCTTACCTCCATGCGTGCCAAAGCTTTAGTAAGTTCCTCAATCATGTAATTGTTGTCAGATGCCACAAATACTGATTTGATGCCTTTCCCATTGCGAATGACACGTTTGAGATGACGTACTATTAAATCAAATGATGGTAAACACATAGCAGAAGTTGCTTTTCCTCTTTCATTTCTATAACCAAGACATTGAGGTGCAGCAAAAAGATTTGGTGTACTGGATATAAATTCACAAGCACGAACCTATAGACAATGAAGTATTTTATGTCTATTTTTGCTCATTCTTCATTTTAATATCATAATAATATTATGGAGGTGACAAAAGTATGTACCCAATCAATTCCATTGCGTAAATGAATTCCTATAAAAGCTCCCCTTGGTAAAGTTTCTTTTATAAAAGCTTTTGCTTTATTAAGCATTTCTGTGTTCCATTCAAGATATTTTTGAAACTTTTTATTCTCTAGCTGAACAGGAAAACTGGCAGGTGCGCCTGTAAATGCTAACACTGGCCAATTTATTGCTGGATATTGTTTCTTCCATTGTATTGCTATGTCTGTGTGATAAACATCATAGTGGAGTGGACCATAAAATTCTGATTTTGTAAAATCTATATTGTATGTGTCCCAAAATGGGCCAAATGGATTTCCCTCTTTAGCATTACATGAATCTCCTTTGCCACGTGTGGAATAACAGAAAGCTGAAAGTAATATACCTTAGAAGGACATCTAATTTTTATATTTAATATTAAAAACTTACATACTCTTTCCTTAGGTTGCCATATTTTTGGTGCAATATCTTCCATAAATGTTTTCATTAACATCGCTTTGTGACAACTTTGTACTTGTGAAACATTAAAATATGTGTTAAAAGGAACTTGTATCTGAAGAATTAATTGAAAATATGTAATTATGAAATGAGTACTTTTTTGTGAAGTATTAAAAATGATTATATACTAACCGATCTAGTTTCTCCTGTTCTATATTCAACCCATGGCGGTAGAATCAAGGTACGATTTAATGCTTTTGCAAATCCTAAGGCACCTAAAAAGTGATCTGCTTGGTTTCCAAACCTTCCTGAATAAACAACAAAATAAAGTGTTTGGAAAGATTACCTTCTGTTGTAAGAAACATGATTTAATTAAAATCTTACCCATACATGGACAATAAACAATGTACCCATTTGTATCAATATCAAAATTTTCGCAATATGTACTGTAAAACTTGGTTAAAAATAAAATAAAGAAAATAATACTGAACATTCTGGTCGCAATTTCTTGAATTACCGGTTTTTTTTAATATTAACGATTGAACGTATCATATGTCTTCGTCTAAGAACCCATTTAAAGTAATCTAAAATCTAAATTATATCAACATCACTTTACACATTCCCTTTGTTGCTATGGTTACGTCCATTGATTACTGAATGCATTCACCCTAGCTGAAATGTGATCACATTTTGTCAGATCATCAACACTAGAACCACCAACTAGTTGAATTAACTGCTTTTTAATTCCTTATAAAAATTATAAGAGTTCATTTATTAAGATCTCGGGTTTTTAAATATTTTAATTTATATATTATTTTAAATTAATTTGTTTAATGGTTTTTCAGAAAAAACATCTGTATCTTTCTAAACTCGTAAACGAAGATATCCAACAGGAGTCATTTTGATCCACTTGGTAGTTCAATGTTGAAGAAGCTAACCATTGAAAATTAATTTAGTATTTGGAATAGAATTGTACAAAGCATGATAAATAAGAAAAAAAGAATTGTGTAATATAATTTAATATAGAAGAAGTTAAGATTCATGGTACCAATTTAAATTGATACTAGTTACAGTAAAATAGCGGAATTTTCAGTGAGTATTTACTGCACTATGTTTCTAGACGCAGCGCCGAAGTTATCAATATTTAAGTGTCGGAAAGATTTCGACAAAGATCAGAAAAAGTATGTCGCATCCTTACGGATCATTTTCGGGTCACGGAAATCATCAACGACGAAATAAAAATGGTCTGTTTAGATAATTTTAAATAATGTAACCAATTAATTTATATATTTAAATTCTTTCGAACTTTTTTATACTTATTCTATAAGATTCTGTTTTACATCTCTGTGACTTGATTAACAAGATAATATGAGAATATTGAAACATGAAATTATTGTCAATAAATTCAATAAGAAGTTCAAAATTTGGGTAGGTTAGATTTTTAAAGTTAGTGGTCATGAAGTAAAACAAATAGGCACAGTAATTTCTTTTAAGTTTTTCTATGATTTTGTGTTTATATCATTTATTTTCTTACATGGTATATCTTCAGAAGATAGAACTGATAATTCCCAATCTGGAAGCTCACACTTCGAGCATCAGGGTCGTGGAAGAGGTGGAGGACAAGGCCATCCTCCATGGTTAAAGGGTAAAGAAATAGGTCTATATTATAGAGACAGAGGAAAGGCGAGGCGTATGCAAAAAGAAGCTCAAGTCATTAAATTGCCAGAAAATATTCAACATAAAATTGAAAGAATATTAGAGAACTCTAAAGGATTTTATGAGAAATTATATAATAATGAAGTGCAAGTGGAAAATACAAATAGTAGAATGGAGAACAAATACACTCATATTCATGATTCACAATTTAAAAGAATGTTTTTAAACATAGTATCTGGAAACATACAAGAAAATATTGCTAAAGCTGTGCTTGTAAAATCAAGGATAGAAAGGGATAGCGATTTAGATGATAAGTTACTAAATGAACAGAGATCAAAAGAATTCTCAGAAGAATATGAAAATATGATGAAATTTCGATTAAAACTGCCTGCATATCAGAAAAGATTGGAAATTATAGAGTTAGTAAATAAAAATCAAGTTGTAGTAATAAGTGGAGAAACTGGTAAGTCTATTAGCACCTAAAATGCTGTTTAAATAATACTTGAATTTGAAAAAAATGAAGTACTTAATGTATATTTACTTGATTGATTGATTCTTTGTTAAGATGATTTCTTATATAGATGTATTTCAGGTTGTGGAAAAACAACGCAAGTTGCTCAGTTCATATTGGATGACCAAATAAAGAAAGGTAATGGCAGTACTACTCGTATCATGTGTACCCAACCCAGAAGGATATCAGCAATATCTGTAGCTGAAAGAGTTGCTGTTGAAAGAGTAGAAAGACTTGGGATATCTGTTGGTTTCCACATTAGACTTGAACGGTATGGTTTTACTTTTCCATCTGTTCATTGTTTAATGGTAAACAATGTTTTTGTTCATTTGCAGAACACTGCCTAGAGATAGAGGAAGCATAACATTTTGTACTACTGGAATGCTACTGAAATTTATGCAAAGTGACCCGGCTTTAAAAAATTTTTCTCATATTATATTAGATGAGATTCATGAACGTTCTACTGAAAGTGATTTTATCATTGCTTTATTAAAACTAATTATTCCCAAAGTAAGTCATATCAAATTATGTATAAACATGAATTCGATTGAAATGTTCTATTGTACGAAAAAAGATCAATGTTTTAGAGACCAGATTTGAAAGTTCTTCTCATGAGTGCAACACTTAATTCTGAACGTTTCTCAAAATACTACAATGATTGTCCAATGATTCATATCCCAGGTTTTACTTATCCAGTAGAAGAATTTTATTTAGAAGATGTGTTAGTAGCTACCCAGTAAGTTTATTTAATGCAATTTCTGCTTTAGGCTGGAGAAGAGAAGGAATTGTAATAGAAATTAATTTCCAGATTTAAATTTAATGAACCACCTCCACTACCTCAAAATTACAAGAAACATTTGAAAAAGTTCAAGGAAGTTCAATCAAAAAGAAATGAATTCTCTGATATCATAGATCCATATGTTCGACAACTTGTAGCTCAGGTACATTTTATTTCCATTCCTTCATGCAGCTATTCTTTTTTTGCATTGAATGAATTATATGTATTAATTTAGAGAAAATATCCAAGATATGTTACCGATCAATTGAGGAATCCTAACAGTGAGGATCTGTCTCTTGATCTCATAGAACAATTAATTAGACACATTTCTGAAACAAAACCACCAGGGGCTATTTTAGTTTTTCTGCCTGGTATGATGGACATTGTAAAACTGCATAGAATAATGGTAGACGCTGGGCGATATCCACAAAGTAAATATACTTAATGTAACATGGTAAACATTGTTTTTTGGACTTAGAGTTAATAAGATTTCTCTGTATGTAGGTCAGTATATTATTTATCCATTGCACTCTCGTATGCCAACGGTAGATCAAAAATTAATATTTAAGGAACCACCTCAAGGTGTTCGAAAAATAATAATCGCAACTTCTATTGCGGAAACGTCCATAACTATTGAAGACGTGGTATACGTCATTGACTCCGGTAAAATGAAATATTTGAAGTTTGATTTGAGTAGGAATGTTGAAACTTTGAATCCCGAGTGGGTAACTTTGGCTAATTCTAAGCAAAGAAAAGGTAGAGCTGGCAGGTGAGGTGAAAATAATTACCACATTAATTGTTTTATATCTTGTTTTATATGTATGTATGCCTTCTCTTTCAGAGTGAAACCTGGCATTTGTTATCACTTGTATTCTAAAGCCAGAGAAATGACATTCGATGAATATCCATTGCCTGAAATGCTTAGAACACGTTTAGAACAGGTAATCTTACAAATAAAAATCCTACAGTTAGGGAAAGCTAGATCTTTTCTAGCCAGTGTTATGGATCCTCCCAATATGAAAGCTATAGATTTGTCTCTGGAATTACTTGGAACTTTGAATGCATTGGACAACGAGGAAACCTTAACTCCTTTAGGATATCATTTGGCACAATTGCCTCTTGATCCGCGAACAGGTGACAGCTTTATTTCGTAATACAATAACTTTGCTAATAAATTTTTGAAATATTTCTTCAAGTAATAATAATAAAATTTTATTTACCATAGGGAAAATGATTATATGGGCAGCGTTATTTTCTTGTGTAGAACCGGTCTTTGCAATTGCTGCAAGCCTGACATTCAAGGATGCATTCTACTGTCCGTTGGGAAAAGAGGAACAAGCAAAGCAAAAGAAACTCGAACTCAGTATGAATCAGTACAGCGATCACATTGCACTAGCTGAAGCTTTAAGAAGATTTGAGACTTCCTATAAAAGAGGAAACGCTGGTTATTTTTGTAGGGAGTATTTTCTTTCTTTCAACACCTTGAAACTTCTTTCTGAAATGAAAACTCAATTCGGTCAATACTTGTACGAAATGAAATTTTTGGAAACTGAGAATCCAAACGACAGGCATGCCAATAGAAATTCTGATAATATTGCATTGATAAAAGCAGTAGTATGTGCTGCATTGTACCCAAATGTTGCTGTGATAAGGTATGCACGAT